TACATACAAATGGGCACACATATACATGCCATAGGTTACTACACACAGACACACATTACATATATGTACATTCATTCATGCACACACACACACAGACAACGGCCCCAAAAGCGCACACACCTGCATCCATTGAACCCCTATTCCCAGCCTTTACAGGCTTTGTTGTTAAGCCTATGTAGGCTGCATGGGAAAGGGCACACTAATGATGTCTACGTTGCAGCTGTGCGGCCCACTCGTGCAAATCGCCAGGTTTTGGCCAAAATGATACCATGCGGTTTACATGAATTCAAGCTCAATAAAAAAATACGAACACACAGCAGCACCCGGAATCCATGCAATCGCTGAGCTCATGTGCAAAACTATATTTTAATTGAACAATATCATGTTGGGCTAGGTGTACTTCTTTGCCATGCTGCTGCATTCTTTTGTGCCATGCAAGGGATGATGGTTGTGCTTGGTGGCTCTCGGTGGGCATCGTTTATGGTGCATCGTGCTCCTGCTCAATGCAATGGATAAAGACAAAGATGCAGCTTCTTCAGGGAGGCCAGCAAAATTGCAGAAACTGCATGATCTTCGAAGGGGTGTGCCCTATGTTTCGAAATCAGCACTAGAGGGGATCTTGCAAACAATCAAGGAGAAAGGCCTCCCAGAGGTTGTTAACACAAAAGCGATGGTGGAAGCGACCAGAAAGGAGATAGCAGGTTGGAATGCCTATGGTAGCCTGATTCAGTCGTGTAAAGTCATCGATGTGCATGGTGCAGAGAAAGATCTCATGTTCCTGAATTTTCACAGCCTCCTGCACGGACTCTTCAAGCAGGGCGGGTCCTTCACAGAGCTTCTGAGAAGCTGCCACAATCGGAATCCATCGAGTGCTGCCAACCCATATTCGCTGGCAGTATACACAGACGAATGCTGGCCAGGAAATGCACTCAGTGCAAAAAGCAACAAAAAATCATGGGCACTGTATTGCAGTTTCAAAGAATTTGGCGGACCTGTGCTTTCTTGCGAAGATGCATGGATGTGCCTCATGTTCCAGAAAACAAGCTTCGTCGGCACACTGGCCGGCTCCATGAGCCAGGTCTTGAGAAGGATCTTGGCTTCTTGTGTGAAGCATTAATTCATGTGTTTCTAGCTCGGGTACATAGCATATAGATGCTGTTGCAACACATTATTTACAATAACTTTTGGACATGGTGCATGATTTCGGCCATGCAACTAAGGAACACATTTTCTGCAATGATGTTGTGGATCCGCAACTTACAGGGGTGCTGTTGCAATCCCCCAATCCTGAAGATCCACCGTTGCGGCTACACTACAAATTCAAGATCCTGGTCCAAGATGGGGCCGCCCAGAAGTTTTGCCTTGCTATAAAAGGTGACTCAGGCTCTAAGTTTTGTGTCAAGTGTAAGAATGCAATATGCATAAGATCGGAAGTTCAAGCAAGCGAGAATGACGAAGAGGACGATGACACTTCTACAGCCAAGTATACAAGGAAATCGCAGCTACAGTTCGCAACTGATCCCGAAGTACTTGAGAGCTGGCAAAGGATGGAGCAAAGGTTCCTTTCTGAAACACCCCAAAATTTTGCAAAGTGGGAGCAGGCGACTGGTTTCTCGTTTTCTTCCCAAGCCTTGCTGGGTTCGACGAAGCTCAGACCTTTTTTGGAGCCGGTGAGCTGTTATATGCACGACTGGATGCATGGAGTTGTTGCCAATGGAACCTTGAACATCGTGGGATATCTTTTCCTTCAAGCAATGCAGCAGCAAGGTCTTCAGAGTTGGTCTTCGTTTCGGGACTACCTCGGCTTCTGGGTGTTGCCTGCAGCTTTCAAAAAGGCATGCCCGGATCTCCCAAGTTTGTTCGACAGCAAGCGGGTGGATTCATGCAAGAAGAGCAGCAAACTCAAAATGCAAGCTTCCGAACTGTTGTGCATCGGGCCCATCCTGTCCCATTTCGCATCAACTGCATGTGCTGGAGCAGTAGATCAGAGGCCTTGCAAGGCATTGGTTGCCATGGTATTCTTCTTGGACCTTTTGACATGTGTGGTGCATGGGTGTGTGCGAGCAACAGACCTGGACAAAGCGGCTGAGCGAGCCCTTGGCTTGGTCGTGGAAAGCGGCTGGCAAGCTTCCATGGTCAAAAAGTTTCACTGGATGCTTCATTATGGAGACAGCTTGAGCAAGCACGGTTGTCTCATTCCGTGTTTTGCTATGGAGCGAAAACACAAACAGTTGACCAAAATCGGAACTCCAATAAAAAACATGAAAGCCTACGAAAAGGCAGTGCTCGAAGAGGTCGTTTCCGACCAGCTATTTAACTTGAGGCAACCGGGCCGCTTCGACATGTCGTGCAGGCTGCTTTCTGAAAGTTGCAAGGCCAGTCGGGCCATGCAGGAGCTTCTTGCCCAGCATGGTGTGACAGCGGGCCAGGCCAGCATCTGCAGAACCTTGAAGCTTGCTGGGGGCGGATCTGTTTCAACTGGTGATGTTGTGCTGCTGAAGCTGCAAGCGGTTCTGGCTTGTGGCATCTTGCTGGCCAACTTTGACAACGGGCAGACTCACAGCATTGTGAAGTTCTTAGACTTCCACAAGAGACTGGCTGATGCTGCTGAATGGAAGGAAGCACATGACAACACAGCTCATGTGGTTAGCAGCTCTGCGATAATCTGTGCCGTCACGTATTCCAAATCCTCTGATGTGTATCGTACCTTGTTGCCGTACAATGCTCGCCAGCTTCTGGCATGAGGTCCCTGTGAAAAAAAAGTGTTTGCAACCTGCAGCCTTTGAAGGCTTTGCATGGAGCCTATAAGAAGCTTAAACCAACATAAACTCTACAGCCAAGCCTACATGCAGGGCCTTTACAGGCTTCTGTTGAACAAAGCCTTTACAGGCTATTTGCGAGCTTTGGAGCCGAGGTTCCTGAGATGTGCCAAAAGTTCAGCTTTTGGTTGTGTGTACATTGTTTGGTTTATAGGGCTTATGTTGGCCGTCTATAGTTGCAGCTACAAGCGGCATGCATGCCGGCATATTTCCGAACTCATGTCATGCTGTTTCGTGTCAGTAGTGAAAACAAGGCTTCTCTTGACGGCAATGCAGTTAAGTTTCAAGCTGAGGGCATGCTGGCAGGAACGGGCCTTTCATGTGTGTCGAAGCATATATATGCTCAGCATGTGTTGCCGACTCTTTTCCTGCCATTGTGGCTTACATTTCGCAGTCCATATTGCTGCTTTCGTAATGCGGTGTTCAAGATGAAGCTATGCCTTGTTCATCTGATCAGGATGTTATTTTTGATAGATGCATGTGGGACAAGTGGTGACACTATCATGGTGCGAGTCATTAACACTCTAAATGAATCTATGATGGTGTGTTGTTTCTGGTGTGCCTCCGAGGTCCGACACAATGGTTTTTTTCCAAAATGCAAATGCCACGGTGGCTTTTCATAAACATATCGCCCTGCAGATTTTTGAATACACAAGTCTCTCAAACGGCTGTCCAAAACAGGTAAAACCACTTACAGGTTTTAGCTAAATGGGTTAGTAAATCATTGGCAAACCGTTAGCAAACATTTAAGTAAGTGGTTACTAAATCGTTATAAACATCGGTTTATAAGTGAGATAACCGATTATAAGCTAGTTAGTAATGTGAATAACAGCCATAAGTTGTTAGTAACCCGCCAACCCATCCAAGTTGCGGCAGCCATCTCCAGACAGCAGCGCAAAGAGACTGTGTGGGAGGATGCCTGGAATCCTCCCTCAATTCCTCCGTGGGACCAAGACAAAGTGCCAGCACGCCCGGGCGA